ACGCTGTCTCCGTGTCATTCCTTCTTCGCCGACTCCGTCCACACCTTTGGGGACCCCTGGACCTGCTGGGGTTGGACCCCGGCACCACTTGATGTGAGCATAATCTTTGTAGTTAGAAGTATAACAGCAAAACTAGCATTTCTTTTTCATTCACAAGTTCGTGGATAGAAGATTGTTCTTACTGTAGATCTTAAGACCTCGGCACATAAATTATTTTTCCTTACTAAGTCGAGAACTTTTTCCTTTTCACTTAAAGGAAGCACTGACTACTCCTCTTTGGCACATCCGAATTGCCAGCTTCTCTGCTCTGTGCTTTGGGGCAATTATTAAGTCAGGAGTTACTTGAACATAAGCACTGCGACATCATGTCAGCCCATCTGGTAACCATGAGGGCCACTCAGTGACTAACAGGTGGGGAGCATCTAAAGTGTTCAGACGCTGGAATAAATTTAACAAAGGAAATGAAATACTTATACACTGAAAACTGCACATATCACTGAAGTCAAAAAGATCCAAGTACATCTCATTTCATGACTTGGGAGATATAATTATTAAGATGGTAATACTACCTAAAACAATCTACAGCCTTAATACAATCCCTATCAAAATTCCAGTGGCCTTTTTTGTAAAAACAGAAAAGCTGATCCTCAAATGTATATGGAATTACAACTCAACAACAAAAGGACAACCCAATTTGAAAATGGGCAAAGGTCTGGGGGAAGACTGAATGTGTAGTAACTACTTAATGGGTACAGGGTTTCCTTTTTGGGTGTTGAAAATGTTTTGGAGCCAAATAGAGGTGCTGGTTATACAATATTTTAAATATATATGTACTCAATGTCACCGAGTTGTACACTTAAATGGTTAACTTCTTGTTATCTGAATTTCACCTCAATTAAAAAAAACACACACCTAAGTTCAAATTGTGAAAGTAAGATAGTATGTGATCATTACATGTTCTGACAATATAGATACAACACACTTTTTAAAATTAAGAGAGAATAGAGAGCATATAAAATAAACTCACTAATTGCCTTATAGGTGGGTTTTAGCTCAAGTTAGAAGCTCAGGGAAGGGAAGAGATGATAAAAGAATATTTCAACTTTGTTGTTCAAAGTAGGATTTGAATAAGGATAACCATGAAAACAAAGAACATTTGTGAAAGAATATTTGTTACATTTCATTAATTGTTTGTGGTACTGAATACAATGGGTCGGAGGCCACCTGTCACTTCTAGAGCCAAATTAAGCAGAGACGGGGTTGAGTCATGTATGCAGCGTTTATTCCAATAATGCCGGCAGTCTGGGGAGAGCAGTGGGCTGAGTGTGTTTGGATGAGGAAAAAGATAACTACATGCAGCAAGAGTAACAGGGCAAGGGAGGGTCTGGTCTGCAGTCCGGCCTTCAAGGTCTGGTAACAAGGTGGCTAATCTGGGATGCTACAAGCAGCTCAGCTGGGACTGGAGAAGGGCCAGCCTTCCTGAGGCAAACTCCCAGAGGGGGTCAGGGTCCGGGCACAGCAACCAAATTAAAGCATGTCCTGTCCTTTGTCCTCAAAATGTAATTTTCTGAGTAATGGACCATGGAGGCACCTTGTCTTTCTACAGACTTGTTTCATCCTCGAGTTTCCCGGGGTTTGTAGGAAAACCTCTCATGTATAGTTAGTAGGTGAATAATCATTAAACACCTGTGGCTTTGTGCCTATTACATGCCCTCCTCCCCATCATTTGTAGATTTTTATATTTGGAGTACGTTCTGGATTTTCATTTGAGAATGTTGCCAGATCTGTAAATCCCTTGGAATGATACCATTTTTTAACTTCAGTTTTTTTCATTCTCTTCGTGGTCACGAATTATGCCTATTCTGGATTGCCTGTACCTGGACGCCGCACCTATCATTTTCTCTCTAATCCTTTTAACGGTTTGCTTTTGCTTGCTATGCTCCACTTTC